CCACTGGTAAAAAATCTGTGGATACTGCAGAAGAATTGGTAGAACCATGGTCAGCAAGACGTACTACAATATTAAACAAGTACACAACATCAGAGAAGTTATCAATAGCTACCAGTTTTTTACCAGGTGGTGAAAAAGGTATTTTTTTATTTAATAAATATTAAAGAAATAGATAAAGAATAGAATACAATTTATAAATAAATTTATTATAGTTATTGTTAAAGTTCAACCAAGTGGTGGAGTTGTTGACAAAGTACGAACAAGATTAGAACAATTAGATGATTTTGAAGAAGGATCTCTTAGACAAATGTTAGATTTATCTCAACAACAATATACTGCAAGAGTTGAACAACTAAATAATGAACTTGTACAAGCTTGGCATTCAGACCAAAGAGTTAAAGCACTTAAAATAGCAATTCAGGTCTTCATTTTCATTCATTTATTGTTCTTATCTATATTTAAGAGAAAAAAGATAAATTAATTAATCAAATCATTTCAGTGTGCCAAATTATTAGTAGATACATCTGTTATGGCTTTTTATCCTGGCAAGTTTGTTCTTATCACAGATATTTTAGATATTTTTGGAAAATTGGTTTATGAAAGATTAAAGATTAAAGCTGAATATTACAAGTTAGTATTGGATTATTTTAATATTATTTAAAATATTTTATTTAACGATGTAATTAAAAAAAAAAGATCTTATGTATAAAAATTTATTTTGATATAAAAAATCTGTTGTATTATCATATTTTTTTCAAATAGGAAATATATATCTTTGTATTAATAAACATTTATAAAATTAAATTATAAAATATATATAGTTGAAAAATTTATTTTAAATAGTATTATTTAAATACTTTATATTGTTTTCTATAATTGAATCTTATTATTATAGACATAAATATGAATATTAATCATAATTGTATCATAAATTATATAAAGAAAATATAATGTCATGTTACTTACCTTAAATTTTAAAAACATATTTATAATAATTTATATTATATTATAATTTATATTTATTATATTTATATTTATAATAATTTATATACAATATAATATTTTATAATTATTATATTATTTTATAATAATATAATATATGTTTTATCAATATAAATTAAGAGAATTGTACAGAATTATATATATGGAATTATATTACAAATATTTAATTACTTTAATAAAACGATATAATTATAAAAAAATATTAAATATTATTAATATTATTAATATGTTTATTTTGTATTTTTTAGGCCAGGAAGTAAAGTGCCCACGAGTTTACCTGATAATTTTACACCCGATATGGTACCTGAAAATGCGAAAGAGACTTGCAGAAATTGGTTTTATAAAATAGCGTCAATAAGAGAATTAGTTCCACGTCTTTATGTAGAAATGGCAATAATAAAATCGTATAGTTTTTTAACAACAAGGTAAGAATATAAGTATTTTATATCTAATTATACATACTATTTCATAATATTTAGTATCAATTAGAATTTTTTTTTGCCTTTAGTGAATTCAATACAGCTCTATTGCGAATAACGCGGATGATAAGAGGTATTGGAAATCCTCTCATAGCTGTATATGCAAGATGTTATTTATGTCGGGTGGGATTAGCTTTAAATAAAACATCTGATTTTGAATTTGTAAGAGAAAACTTTTATGATTTTCTCTTTACATATCAACAATTGTTTGGCCAATTTATAAAGAATGAATTAATCGAACAAAATATGACTTTATATTCTTATTTAAATCTTTATTCGCCAGCATTAGATTGGATTTTACAAGTATTAGTAGCTACAACTTCTGAAAATTTTTTAGAAGATGTACTTTCTCGATGTAAAAATCAAGCAAATAGGTAATTCGTATTTAATTCTTCTTTATGTATCCATATTATTATAGATGATTTGTAAGATTAAAATATTTTTTTTAGTTCATTATTATTGAATAGTATTTTAACAGCATTTAAATCTTCATATGTTGCGGGACGTGCAATAGATTTTGTAAATTTAATAACTGCAATTGAAGATGATGGTAATATAATGGTGATGAAATAAATGATTAAATTATTATTTAAAATTTGTAAATTTTATATTTATATTATTATTATTTTTATTTTTAGGTTTCCCGCAATATCTTTTATATCGAAGTTTAGGTGAAAGTCTTATATTAGAATCACCACCAAAAGAAGACTGCCAATCAATTCTCAATATAATATGGAAATATATAACAGATTTAACAAATCCTAATAAATTTATGCATTGCATTGAAATTTGGATTCAATTCACTGCTATTCATTTTTCTGTAAGTTTAATTTATTTGAAAATGAAAAAATATTTATTTTTATTAATTTGTTTACAATTTTAATGTTATAGGTAAATGAGTTAAATCTATTTTTTGGAAAAATAATTGATCGACTTAATCCGAATAAAAGTTTTGAACACCATTATCCACAATTACAAAATATCATTGAAAAAGTAGTATCTCATACACAAGATTTTGAATCGTTACTTGCTATGGTAACTATTTCTTATCTGTTATCTTTTCTTTCGATTTATTTCAAATGATATACATAAACATTTTTCAGGATAATTTTTTACCTCTAATAGATTTATTTCATAAAGAAAGTATAAAGGTTGAAGTATGTAAGACTATCATAGAAGGTATAAGTACACAAACCACTCCAATTACCGATCCTATTATTATAAATGCTCTTATGTTCATTGCAAGAATAATGCACGATTCTGTTAGGTAATTTTCTTATACATAAATTTTTTATATATTTTTTTTCCTCAATACTTTTTATAAATTATTTTTATACTTTTTTCATAAATAAAAAGTATTCTTGCATTATATACATATTCAATCGTTCTTGATAAATAAACGATAAAATAGATTTTAGAGATTTATTATCGCTATTAATATTACTATTATTACTATTAGTTAATCAAATTTCGTGAATAATTATATTACACTAATGAATAAAACACAAAAATAATGAATGATGTTCAAATCTTGCAATCGATAACATATCAAAGACATATTTTTGGATTTAACAAGTCTTGTAATTGATTTAATAAAATTCTTATCACATCCGGGAACTATTGTAATATGTATATCATATGTATATGTATCGACTATACTAGTGGTTTCACGATGAGATAATTGCAGTGCTCTAACTGTTGAAGATGAAAAACGGCAAATTGGTCAACTTATATGTGGTATTGTTCAACGTGTTGATTATGGACGTGATTTTGAAAAACAGCTTAATTTTTATGCCGAAGCTAGAGCAGCTTTTCCTAATCTCGATACTGTTCATATACAACTGGTACAGGTAATTAATTTTTGTTGCCGCATTTAATATGAAATGTAAATTATATTTAAAAAAATTGTATAATTAACGTGTTTGTTAAAACATAGTGTGTAAATAGATTATCAGTTGATACTCGAAAGATCGTTCGTGGACATCACACAAGAAGAACTTCGGCATTTGTACGTGCTTGTGCCGCATTTTGTTTTATTACCATTCCATCATTAACTTTGGTTTATACGCGGCTTCAATTATATTTACTTTCAGGCCAAGTTGCACTCTTAAATCAATGTTTAGGTCAAGGTAATTAATTAAAATTCAGTATATTATATTCTCTTCATATATATATGTATATATATACAATTAACTCAAAGTTATTTTATTAGCTGATGCATGTTTCAAAGCTGCGTTAAGCTTAGTTCCGGAAATGCCGAAAACAATAGACATAGATGGAAGACAAAAAAGTTCACAACCTTATTTACTTTCATATTTATCAAATTTTTTATCCACGTTACTTGTTGTACCAGTACGTATTTGTATGATATAACATTGCACAAATTTTACTTTTCCTTTTTATTATTTTTTATGATGTAGAAAATATTACAAAAATTAGAAAAATTTGTAGGATAGTCCAGAACATGGTGTTTTATATCTCATGCGAGGTTTACTTAATGCTGTTCAACGATGTTTCGAAGAAAATACGTCAATGAAAACATATTTATATTTACGCGTACTTGACTTATTGTCAACAATTGTTCAAGAAAATTATCCATATCACGTTGAAAAGGTTATTATTTTTAAAATAATAAAATAAGTATGAATGAAATATTGAAAAAACTTGATAAATATAATATTTTAATTTTTATTATATATTTTTAGGTCGATTCTAACGATAAATTATATGGATCTGATCAAAAATTTATAAGCGAAGTGAACAAAATAAGTTCTAAAATCGTAGAAGAAATTTTATCTCATTTAAAATATCTTGGTTCTACCGATCAACTTGAGAAACAAGCAACTCTTGCATTGGAGCTTTTTAATTGCTTTATTATCAGAGCAGATTTGCGTGACCCACAATTAGCGCATATGGCTGTAAATTTATGGAATTTGTCCGTACGACATGGTTCTATAGATTCGAAAATGAAGGTACACTTAGACATAGATGATATAAACTTTTTCAGATGATATAACTTTTAAGTGATATTTTTAATGAATAACATTTTTTTTTTTGCTTTTAGATGAAAATGGTAGCTTATATAGTACAAAAAAGTCATGACAAAGAGTATGAACATTTTGGTGACATTTTAAGAAAAATGTTAAAATAAATAAATATAGATTAAATGTAACAAATAAAAGGATCAATGAAAGACTAGAATTATACGTTAAGTCGATGGAAATGGGAAAAAACAACGATAGATTAAATAGCTTTTTAATAATTTTTCGGAAGACATACTGATTGGTTATATATTAAATATTCTTTAGCCATAGCAACATTCTGGTTGCATGTTGAAATATAACGTAAATATAAATTTGATGAAAAATTATATTATATCAAAATTATATTATAAAGAATAATACTTATTATAATAATATCAAATTTTTTTAGATAAACAATAAAATATATATTAATTATTACATATATTATATAAAATGTTAAAATTATTATAAAAAAGTAATATAATAATAACGATGTAAATATATTCATAAACATTCTCTGACGTATGTATAAGTATATTAAAATTATCTAATCTCTTTACGATTTTGGAAGACAATTTTGGAAGACACGTGGAATGCATCTCGGCATATAACTCGATATAGCATTATTTCTTTAAAATTATTGTCCTTTTAAAATAGATCGAAGACGATCCAGAAATATATCGGCATGTTTTTCCGTAAACGTCAAGGCAGGTCTTAATCTTATCGCTGCGGTTCCACAGCCACCGGTTTGAATACCTGTTCAACGTATTACTTTAGCGTTATATTTATCTAAATTAAATATCGATTACGATTGATACAAATTATTACCTTTGCTTAAAAGTTTCTTAATTATCACATCTCGTAATTCAGGTGAAGCGCAATTAAACGCAATGAACGTTCCACGTCCGCGTACGGAATTAATCATAGTAGAAAATTCATTTTGCAAATTCATCAATTTTTTTAGTATATAATCTCCAACAACTGTAACCCTATGTAAAAGATTTTCCTTTCTTATCGTCTCTAATACCGCTTCAAGTAATATTATTTTACTTGGATCTCCCATCCAAGTGTTAAAAACACGGAACGATTGTTTAGGCCTGTAAATTACATCGATTACATATATTTAGCGAAGATAGAAAATTGTTTTTCAAACGATTAATAATAAGAAAGAAATTTTATACTTTAAAGATTCGATGTGATAATAACCACCCAATTGCATCTTTTTACTAAAAGTTACCAAATCTGGAGGAAATTCTAGATTAAAATGTTCGTGACACCACATTTTTCCTGTTGGCCCGCCACCTGTTTGTACTTCATCGATTAACAATGCTGCACCATGCTGAAAATATTAATTAACAATTAGAAACGTTACCTACATAACGTTACATTATAGATATTTTAAAATTTGTAAAAGATAATACGTATAATATTAATTCGAATCGTTACTTTCTTCGTTATACGTTGTAATTCTTGAAAAAATTCAGGAGATGCATGATTATCACCCCCTTCTGCTTGAATCGGTTCAACTATCACACCAGCAACTGGAATTTTCTTCTCGGTTTTATATTTTTCAAATAATTCCTCTACCTAAAGGACATTGCGAAAAATATAACTATATGAAACTAATTAAAATATGAAAACGTACTAATGAAAATTAGTATATCGGTTATATAATAATAATAAAGATCGAATTATCGAATTTAATAAATAAGATATAATTACATACATGGGCTAAACATCGTTTATCTTCTTGCTGATTTTCTCTAATATTTTCATTCAACGGATATTTGTATACGGGAAACGATGCTGTAGGCCAATCAAAAGCTGGGATATCTATCTTGTGAATGTATTTACTATGCGTCGTCGAAAGGGATCCCAATGTTCGGCCATGAAATGCGCCTATCGTCGATATTATTATTCTTTCGATTCATTTAAATATCGTGTAAATTTTGTAATATTTTTTTTTATATTTATATTTAATATAAATACCTTTAAACGAAAGTATCGAAAATCGCGGTGTACCGGGAAGTTGATTCATCATACAAGTTTCTATTTCTTCCTTCGTGAACGAATTACCCTTCCTTTGTTTTTCAGCGTACCAAATAAATATAGTTTTAAACGCGTTTTCATTCGAACAAGAACCACACATCATAGTTGTAACATGAGACAATCCTGGTGGAGCAATCTGTACATTACATAGTAAATAAATAAAAATATACACGCAAAGTGTTACGTTATATTCTAATTCCAAATATTTTCTCCTAATATGAATCATCAGAGTACATCGTGTGTGAAAGTAACAAATTTCTTTAACGAAGAAATGGTAGATAAACAGCACTCGATATTGTTGTTTGGTCTCACTCGAAATAGTAATGTTTCGTTCGGTTGTCCCTTTTGACTCTGAAACGTCGTAAAAATTAATTTGTTGCAGTAGGAGATAGCGATAGCGAAAATTCCACGCGAAGGTCAATTCTCTTTCTAAATTGAATATATATGTTATGATATTTCAATAAGAAGATAAATAAGGTTGAAATACATTGCTGTAACAAACATTTCATACGGTGATTGTTTCAAACGTTATCATATATTAAACATGATATAAAACGTAAAATGATCTTGATCTTTCGTTCGTAAATAAATCCTATAAGATTAAATAACAAATATCATTCGAATAAAATAATTAGTTTCAAAATTATATAATTAAATTGCAAGCATTTCGTTTTCTATAAAGAATTAAAGTAAAATACGTTTATATGCAAAGAGTTTTTTATCACATATCTGATACTTTAATGATTCATACGTACACATACATTTATACGTGAGATACCGAGAGGAAATATTTACAATATTAAAATACAAGGTTCAACGCCAGATATTAAGTTTTGTTTGCAAATAGTTCAATTATTTCCAAATTTTCGAAATAATTGTTTCGAATAATTGTTAAAATTTGATATAATTAAAAAATGAGATGAAATAGGATATTTTTCATTACATAGAATTCATCTTCGGAGCAATGATTTCGTTATACATGACATTATATGAATGATATTTCTTCTAAATCAATTCTTTTATTTTTGAAATTATCAAAGAGAAAATTGTATTTGGATAATTGAAAAGTCGGAAAATCAATGATTAATAAATACGTATCGAAGATGTTTCTAAATTTAATATTTTAAAAGCATATATAATAATTAAATATCGTGTATAAGACGTACCTCTTTATGCAACAAAATTTTTTTCAGTTTATCTGGCCACTCTTTTCCAGGGAAGATACCTAATGCAGGCCTATTTGCTATAATTTTCTGTAATTTAAAAATAAAGATATTTTTAATACATATAAGTTTTTATATTTCACATATCTAGATTCGAACAAATAAATTTTACATTTTACTCTATGAACATAATAAGTATGTTTATTTTGTAATAATTAAATAAAATATTCTATAAAAAAAATAGATAAAAAGTAGAAAATTTGAAAGACATTTCGCATACCTGATTAACCGGATCAGCGAGAGTTTTTAACATAGCTGGATGATTGTAACCCAGAGGCATCGATGAAATTTGCATATAAACGTCGAGCAAAATATTCCCATCAACGTCCATTAAATAGTTACCTACTGATTTTTCGTAGTCTGCGAAAAATTGTACGGAAGAGGCTTGCTGCAATCACAGATTTCAACAGATTTTAATCCATTTCATCTCTCAACGTTACAAGTAACACAATTCATTTTATTAATCGAACATAATAATTTTGTAATTTCTAAAGACGATGTAATTAACGATATATCGATATATTTATAATCTTTTTTATAAAAGCAAATCGTTATTTTATAAAAGCAAATCGTATTACGGATATTTAAATATTTATAACTTGTAAATTATTCTCTTGCCAACTGTTTCTTCTCAAATTATAAAGGATCGTGGGAGAAAAAGATATATATATATATATTTCTAAATACATACATATTTCTGATACAATTATAAATGAAATTTGATTTTGAACGTACTTGTATCGCGTTAAGTTCTTGAAACAAACTACGTGATCGAGGTCCTGGTATTTCTGTCGCGATCACTGGCATATTTGGTTCTTCCGATAAAGTTACGGTTAGACATCTCTTCCAAACAGTCGCATGCCCTATACGAATTCACAAAAAAGACGTTTTTAAGTTTAATAATGAACGATAGTTACAAATATACACGATAAATATATAAACGAACGTGATAACTTATTAACAAACTATCTTTTTATTCTATTTACTAATAAATATCACGAATCTTCGTTTCGAACTTTTCTTTCTCGTACATTCATTACTTGTAAGAAGTAAATATTTACATTTACGCGTGTATACCCAAGCTTTTTAATCGTGTGAAATTTTAACGAATAATAAAATATTTTGACGAATAATACATTATTTTATATCGGATAAAAATATCTATTTCTATATTTATTATTACTTTTATATTTATTTTTTTTATATCAAATATAAAAAATATCGTATTTGGTTCGTAACGTAGCGTAGCGTATATAACGTTCACTTCAATCACGTCAACTCTCAATTTATTAGATCGGGTGTTTAGTTTCATTGATGTCATTTGCGAGTAATTGGTTGTCGTATCGACGTACTACTTTTAGATAAGTTATACTTCATCAACGATATATATATTTTGGAATGTTTCATTTCATGTTTATTTTCTATCCTGATCGTAATATAGATAGATATGTATTTTAACGACGATCATCTTCGATCAATTAATTTCTCTCATCTATCGTAAAAATTTATTTCGAAAAGATTGCTATCTCTTTTGAACGATACTAGTTACGATTATACATAATATATATAGTTGGATTGTTTTTACCAGTAGTTAGTAACATTAATTCGTGTCTTTTGCGACCTTAATCATCAGTAACAGATAACGATAAATTTGTGTTCCGAATAAAATTCATTATTATTTTCCCATCGAATATAAATCTAATAGGTGATTCCGACGAATATCTCGCGCAAGGAAGAAATATTTAATTATCACATATGTATAAATATTATATGGACTTGTAAAAAATAATCATACAACATTATAGAAATTTATGTATTTTGCCGATTAATTTTCTTTTACACGTAGAGTATGATAATATGATGTTGATATCGAACAAAATCGTACGATGTTTTTCATTAAATTATAATTTTCAATTATAATGTATAAATAAATTTATTTACATAAATATGTATATGAAATGCATGGAATTAATTTCTCCAAGTATACAAGGTTGATGACACAAAAACGTATATGTATATACGTAAAGACGAATAATTGGTTCAATTGTATGATATTTTCAATTTTGATAAGATAAGCGATAAAATGGATGACGATAAACAGATTATAAATATTGTTTTAGATAAGAATGAAGTAATTGAATTTTAAAGATTTAAAGGGATTCTTTGTTATAAAATATGAATAACGAATAAATAATATCAAAATGCACCAAATATACATATATCAAAATTCGGCCATATTTCGACTAGAAAATTAAATTTTCATACGAACGATATACAACGATTCATACTTTACGGTAATAAAATCGTATAAATCATTTTTTCATTAATATCTTTAAATATATATATATGTACGTATAATATACGCGTATCGTATATTATAAACGTATTAATTTTATATTTAATCATTGTATGATCGAATTTTTTCAAAATTTAAGTTTTTTTTCAATTAAGTTGTTTCGTATATAATAATGGATAAAAAAATAAATCGTTTAAAGTGATAATTCGAAATATACGTATAGATATATTCACTCATAAAAAATATTTCTTCAAAAATATTTTTGAACGGTACGGATACGTTTATATGTCAGTATATTTTATCGAAATATTACTACGCGTAAGTCGAATGATAGTTAATAATAATATATGTTTATCGGCATAATTAGCCGAAATGTTGGTCAGGCGATAAGATTTTTTGCGCTTATGCGTACTTAGGATTCGTATAATATCGCGAAACGAAAAGAAAACAAAATTGGGAATTTTTTAGGAGAGACAAAAAAGCGAGTTATCGATTCTTTGGGTGTATCGTGCGCGGACTGATTTACTCGTTGACACGCTGCTAACCAAATAACCTCTCATCTCGTACATCTCGTACATCTCGTTTCAATTTGATTCTTTGACGGAACATGAAACATGGAACACATCGAAAGCGAAAAAACGAGCGAAAGATATAACGAGATAGATGAAAAAAATACCTTGGAACAATTGCCAACGTGAAAACGTTCGAGCACAAAGCGCAGTTTGACACTTGTTGGCGAGCATCTTCTACGTTCGTTCGTAACACTAGCCTAGAGTAATTGACTGATTTTCACGAGGAATCGACAATCGAATTTTGCCGATCGTGCGATTCGTGCGACGTAAAACGTCCTCGCGAAGGAATGGATTCGCACTGGTCATCGATATAACACAGTAGTGGGTGATCCTTGCGCAGGAAATATTTGATCGTTTCCGAGTCTATACGAACATTCACGAATCAGTTCCAGTTTTAACCGCGAATTTTTAACCAAACGTCGCGCGGTGTAACGACCGACCGTTTCGTTCGATTCGCAAATTTTTTACGAGTTCGAAGAAACTCGATTAATCGAAAAATATAACGAAGCATACGTACGGATACGAACTCGACTGACTTCTCATCCGTGTGTGAATACGTTTAACTACCGATAAATATCCTTCGTACTTGCAACAACCCCACGGAACATTTTCGGCCAAACACGAACGTGCACGAACATTCACGAATATTTAAATCTAATGGCGCGATTTACGCGCGAGCGCGTCGCGTCGTTGTAGATTATTGTAGATAGTCTATGATTTACGATTTGCGAGAATCGGAATACGCGTATATACGTATCTCGTTCAGAGATAAGATGATTTCGTTTAATACGAGTTTATATAATTTGTGAATCGCAATATTTCTTTATCCAACTTTAACTTTACTATCGATATCGATACTTGGATTTTTTTATAATCATACGAAAAAGTACGAAGAAAAGAGATAACGGAAGAATACTTTGAACTGAATTTTAATAAAGAAATTTTTTCAAAAATTTTGGAAAATATTTTTGAAAAATAATCGGATGAATCATAATAGATAATCATCTCGTAATATGTACTAAATCATACTACGTGAAAAATGAAAGTAGAATGGGACGAAGATAGATCTTTACGAAAGTATATGGATATTATTATAGTTTGTATTAAAGATAAAATATTTTTTAGATATATATATGTGTGTATGTGTGTCTACTATAATCAAAAACAATCAAAAATAATATCTAGATAGATATTTAAATCCTAGAAACTGGCTTTCCCTTTACATGTTTATGTCTGCGTGATTTTAAAATACCATGGAGTTTCGTGCCACGAATAAAAATGGGGCTATCGATTGTTGCGAATAACGACTAACCGAATAACGAAAGTGAAAGTAAAATTTCTGTGCTTTTTTTAATGTATGTTATACGTTACTTACGAAACTGGCTTATTACGAGGGAGAGAAAGAGAGAGAGAGAGAGAGAGAGAGAGAGAGAGAGAGAGAGAGAAAAGGATAATTTGAATGCGGTTAATTTCATCTGTCATACACAAAAATCTTGTACCAATATTTGCATCGTTCGTGACCTCTTTACCGCATAACTTACCACCACGTATTATTAACTTATCATTGGTCATTTCATTTTTTCATCAACGAAACAAAAGTTGAACATCTCATCCGTTTTTGTTTATTATTTTATTCGTTCCACGTAATCTTATTTACGTAGTTCACGTATACGTATTTATATTGGAACATAAGATCGCAACGTTAAAACGAGATCGAATCGAAATATTCTCAGCCGCGAAGATCGAATTCCACATCCGTCCCATGTTTCCAAATTGTTCGAACGAAATAGAAAATTCCTCGTGTAATTGGATGATGTTAAATGATTTGAAAGAATGATGGAAACACGTGATAGAAAATAAATGGATCGATTAATTTGCCTCCAATTATTTTGATCCCAATTTCGATAGGTAAGAAAGGACGCCTCTCGTTGATTTATCCTTTGCTCTCTGGATACTAGGCGAGTGATGGTAGTAGTTTCAAGTTTTTCGGGTGCGGAGAGCCCGGTGCGTCGCACGAACATTATTCGTTCGCGCCAACGCATTCGAGTCAGTTCGTTCGGCTGCACGACATCGCGACCACTGCGCAGTCGTCCATACGCTTCCTTCGATTTCAAATTGAAACACGGGTACCGTCAAACGAATCGATCCCATTTTCTTCATTTCATCCTCGAATCCATACGTTCCCAATTTTTCCTTTTTTTTTATCTCATCCATACTCCGTCAACGATATCGAAAAGTGTCATCGAACCGTGTCACATTCTCCCTAAAAAAAAAAAAATCTCCCTTAATTTGGTAAACGAGTGACCTAGACAGTTTTCACCTACATCGATCGTAAGTCGTCGACCAACGCATTGAAACTCCGCTCACGCGCTCACCGGTAAGTATCCTGTCTTGCGGTACTGATTGCACGGTACTGATTATTTTATCATCTAGTCGCCTAATTTTTTTTTTTTTTTTTAAATATCTTTTAAAACGATCCTTCGTCGTAGGATTTAAATATTATTTCGCCAACTCCAAATCTTTGATCTCGCTCAGCAATTTGTCCACGTGAAACTGTGGTGTAACGCGGGAAATACAAAAATTACGAGCTTTCGACGACATACATATATACATACGTATGTATATATATATACGTATAAATGTGTTAATGATATCTTTTGACGACGTATAATACGAAAAATCATCGATCGTGTTTCGATTCAAACCTATAGTTTTAGCTACGTTTTAGCTATGGTAGAAATCATTTTTCGGATTTCTATTTTATACTCCTGACCTTGGTTAAAACCTTGATCCGAAAGAGTCGACGTTCCTTTCTCTCATTTTTCCTATTTTCTATCTCGATACCATTTTCGAAACGACCAATCTTGCGAAAAATTATTGATTTAAATATATATATATATATTAAAAAAAAAGAAATACGGTTCGTAACGCACGAATTTCGATCGTTTGGTTATTCAAAGCCGTATTTGCACTTTTACGAAAGAATTATCGATCGAGTAATTACAAATTCCCAAAGGATTGGCACATTGTTCGTCGGTATCTTTTATTCGTTCTCTATTGTTATCCGTAACACCTTTTCGAACGGAGTTACGTCCGATAAATATTCAAAAGTCGTCTAGAAACGATCTTTCGATCTTGAATATTTTTCAGGCACCTTTATATCTATATTTTATTGCCAACGATCGATTGCCGATAATTTTATCATCCTTCTATAAAATTTCATGCGTTCAATTATATACATCGAAAATGGAACAAATCATTGAAACAAATTGCCTATATAAACTACTATTTATGATCGATCGCTCGAAACGTATTAGTACTATTTCTGCAAAAACGAGACACTAATAACAGTATGCAAAAAAAAAAGGAAGAATAATAAGAGGAAGAAATAAAAATAACGACAATAATGATATAAAACGATAGGAAATAATCTCACGTGATTCACAATATTCGGATTTTAGTCATCATCAACCTTCAATGCTATGTCTTCAATGCGAAAAGCCAATGCCCTCCTCTCAAAAACCTTTAATGTCTTTTTTCGTTTGTTATTTCTCTTATGAACGTACTACGCGAATACGAAGGTAACGAGTACCGATTCGGGATTTTATTCGATATTTTATTCTCCCCGACCGTTATTTTCAATTTTTTTATCAGAAGAAATTATTTTCGCGCGTATACCAGCTATCTTTCGCAAGTTTTAAAAATTTATCCGCGTAATGGAGTTTTAACGCGATACCATAAACGCGATAAAATAAAAATACCTATCTATAATAAATACGATGTAGAGAATGAGAAAATAAAGTTGTATAAATGAAAATCGTGTTAAATGTTTCCAAGATTGAAATATAAGCATTTCTTTTTAATCTCTTTTAATCTACCTGTTGATCGCCGTTAACTAAAAAATAAAAACGTAGATAGATGACGTTAAACGAGATCATTACTTAATATTATTATTTAAACAGAACGTATTCGATTCTAAATTTTGTACAAAAATAGGTACGGTACTGTATTCGCTATTTCGAATTCGTTTCTCGTCGAATTATTTTGTTTCTGTTGCAGCGAATTTTGAATTTTACCATTGACATTCATGGTAAGCAGCGATATGCTCGTATACGATCTAAACGCGTTATCGTTTATAGAACGAAAACGTGAAAAAAAGAAGAAGAAAGTAATTGTAACGAGAGATATTGGACCGAGATATACGTAAGATATATACGACTCGAATAGAGAAGAGTTATCCTCTCGTAACGAGGTGATGTATCGATAGATTTTTATAAAGTTCGCATCTTTAGATTTTCGCAGTTAACAGTTTTAACGATATCATAATTTTCGTAATAAATATTTGTTTAATTTTTCGATTATAATTGCATACCTATATATATCGAAGGTAATATTGGAATAAGATCAAAGTTACGATGGAAATTAATATATTTACATTTCAATTTTGATTTACGTGTAAATATGTTAATGTTGCGGTAGATAACGTTATCTTTATTCTTTGAACAAGATTTTAAATTTAGATTTTTGACATCGATGCTTAAATTGCTTTCGTTCCTCGTATTAGCGCAGGATAACATCTCGTTATATATTATTCACCGTTTTAAATTCTCTCGTGATATAACGGTATCAACATCGATTATGATAATGAAGATGAATGAAAGACCTTCGATAAATGTTTATAGAAGTAGTAGCTTTTTCAAAATTTCCTTATTCGTATTTCTTTCTGATCATCGACGAAATATCTGTTGTTATATCTTCTATTGTAAAATAGATCGATCAAAAAAAATCAAAAAATATGATTTATAATCGCTTTATCTTTTCCGTTTGTTTCCTTTTCACATTTACTTTCGAAACCAAAAATACAACTAAAAATCATTTTCATATTTTCTAAAAATTATACAAAGATAACTTTGATTGAAAAGAAGAATTTTTTTTTTCTTTTAAATAATTTTCGTATAAATTAGAACGAAATATCAAGTCAAATTTTTCGACGGGACGAAAGATGATTATTTGTTCTTCCTTTTTGAATTCGATACGTACGAAGAAACGAATAAAACGAGAGAACGTTCTTTTTTTTTCTTTCTCGCCATCAAGCTTAAATTACCCAATGGAATTACGTATTTATATCTATATATATGTGTATGTATATGTGTATATATGTATTCGTGTGAATGTCGATTTTGATTGTCATTTTTTGTTCCATTTCATCGTCCTTTTATTTTTCCTTTTATTTTGCGATCCTTTATAATGTTGAAACAGTTGATCGATTTTTTGTTCGTTGAAATAAACACATACAATAATTTTATCGTAATTTAAGAGAAATTTTTTTAATATTCTCCCGCAATTAATATGATTATATCGAGATGGACGAGATGCTATTAAAAAAAGTAAGATCGAGGAAAAAAGATTTTGATATTAAACACAATGTGGAAAATTATTTCTCCATGGTATTTATTTTTTTTTAACCTTTTAATGATAAATTTATCATTTATCGGAATAATTTAAATCGTTATCTTTTATATATATAGATAAAAAGAAAAGAAAAAAAAAATACAACCGAAATGCAAACCACTAGTGGATATTAAATTACCACTCAACGACAATGACAAATGTCCATGATAGCTATAAGTTGGTTAAAAACGAGCGAAAAAGATCCGGTTAACCTTGATCGTTTCGGAGAAAGGTGACAACAACGAAGATTTATTTCGAGCGATTGAATTCTCTTGATAAATAAGTCAGCAACGATAAGAATAAAATAATTATCAAAGGATAATTTGACGCGAGGATATCGATCGCGACACGGCGATACGTTTTTCTTTCAAACGCGAAATCGAAACAAGAAACGAAGAAAAACAAAATTTTAGATTATATCCGAATCCGTTTAGAAAATTGGAACGAAAACACGAGCAGTTAGTAACGCGTTACAACGAAACATCCAATAATAATTTTCAAATTGTTATTTCATCTCGTGTTACGCGTATCGCGTTTTAAATCGTTACATATGCGCATATCGTCATATACGATATCTCATCGCAAAACGATCGAATTACACTCGAAACAAAAATAATTTGTCTATTCGGCATTCATCACGTTTGATTCTCCGTACCGTTCTAGGATGTCTCGAACTCGAATTTTAGATGCGTGTGTACATTACTTAGTCGAGTTTTATAATTCGACGATGTTAATCGTCGATACGGCTCGACTCACGTGCAAAGATCGGATTGGATCGGGTTAATGTCAGCCTAAATTTATGCTAATTCCATTCCATGTTTCGATTTAACCATCTTTATGTACACGACAGTGAACGGAACTCCTATACAAGGAGTAAATCTTGTTTCTTTTATAAAGTATTAACAATTTATAGATACCCTATACCGTATACCGTATACCCAAGTTGTACGAAATTAGTCCTGTATTGTGTCGCGATAGAGACGTTAAACAACCGTGTACGATAATATAAATTTTAATTAAATATCCGATTCGATGAAGCAAAATTTAGATATATATACATATATATATATATATATATATATATATCGCGAAAAGGCGGCCAAAATATCTACATATCTACGTATTTATGATATCATTGTTTCGATCTCACCGCGAATCGAAATCTTTCGCGTCGAATCGCAGTTCATTGTACTCTTCCTACCTCGATAAATATATCTTCAGATATATACGTTCAGGCTTCGATTCATTCATAATATTATTTCATTAATATTACCATCTATTACCATAATGTTTCAATTAATTGTATTAAATGATTAACTACTTTCGTATTACTATCGTCGTCGTTACACACTATTTAATATTAATGTCGTTAATCGTGAGATCGTTAATTACAACTATCGAGTAATTACAACTAATAAATAATATCATTTAAATCATATAGAAAGAAAATAAATCTTTCTCTGTAATATATATATATATATATATATATATATATATATATATATATATACGTATATTTCAAAGTTTTACAATTTACCAACGTTTTAAACGGTAAATCTTATTTTAGGTGGTCATGATTACGAGATATCGATGTTGCGATATATTTTTGTTAATATTCTACCTCCTTCTTCGGGTAAGTATAAAAAAGCGATTCGTTGAAAAAGAATCGTACAATTTTTTTTTTTTTTTTTTTTATATCTACTCCTTTTTTTATATCTACTCTTTCGACGCTCTACCAGATCCATCCATTATTTCCACGAATAACGCATTAAATAATTTTAAAGGATCCCGATCACGTATACGTAAATGGGCATGGCCGACTCATGGATCCGCCAGCAAGAAACAGCATGTGGCGCTTTGGATATCCGAATCCTGTAAATTATAACGACAATGAACTATTCTGCGGCGGATACGCAGGTCCGTTATTTCACAGTAATCACTGCGAATCGACGATTTGTAAAATCGACTCGAATCGTGCAATATGATTAAGTTTGAGAAAAACTTAATTCGTCGAATTTCAAAATTGCACAGACGTGCACGAAAATGCATAAGTATCGATCAATTTCGTAACAAAAATATTCCCAGCTGTTTTCAAATTTCACTTTTTTTATTGTATTATTGTATTATTTATTATTGTTGTTGTTATCGTTTAGTTCAATGGGTAACATAAATATTCCAAGCTGTTTTCAAATTTCACTTTTTATTGTATTATTATATTATTATTATTGTTGTTGTTGTTGTTGTTGTTGTCGTTTAGTTCAATGGGTGCAAAATAAGGGTCAGTGTGGCGTTTGCGGTGACGCATATCACTTGAAAGAGCCGAGACCGCACGAAGCGGGTGGCGAATATGCGAAAGGCACAATTGTTAGACATTACACGGTTGGACAGGTAATTTCACTTCTCGTTTCACCACCTAATCGTAATTAAATAAATTCGTGTTGTGACAAATATTCAATTGAAGATAAATCGAAAATGTGGAATAAAATTTTTCCATTCGAATTTTCGATACATAGACAATTGAAGAAATGAATAATATAATCGAAATCGTATCGATTCAAGTTTTATCAATTACATCGAATAAATGTGATTTTGAATCTCGTTAACGTATAAATGTACGTCACATAATCACGAATAATATTTACTTTTATCTTCTTCGTGATATCGTTCGAGAATTCGATTCGATTATCCATGATCGATAATTTCTTAGAGTTCCCTGCACTTTCGAGCGTTGAAATTAATCCTTTTTCGATATATATTAGACTTTTTTCCCCCATAGTAGGCGAACAATTACGAAAAATAATCCATTTCTCCAATTTATTTTCCCCCCAATTTTTCTTTCTCTTTTACGTGCATCGATATCGTACGAATTTACAGGATATCGACGTCGAGATTGAGCTTACGGCGAATCATTTAGGCAGATTCGAAATGTATCTTTGTCCGAATAACAATCCAAGAAACGTGGCGACTCAAGAATGCTTCGACAGGTAATCTTTTTTTTCACGAGAAATGTCGATTATTCGAATCTATCTAGGCAAATACAATAATTTCTTTTTGCTTTTCCGATCGGATTCCGCAACTAAAATAATTTTAAAAATATTCGTTACGAGAAACGAATATAAATAAATAAATGATAATATAAAATAGATTTTTCAAATTTTGTCAAATTTCGAATCTCCTCTAAAATAAATGACTCCAAGATAAATACTTGGATTCATTTCTTTTTATTTTTCTTCTCCTCGCGTTAATCAAATCGATCGATGCTTTAATTATTAATCATTTCGACGAAATCGATATGGATTTTCCAACGCGATATATCTGTTATAAATTTCATATATTTTACTATCTATTTTGTACGTTCGTTCGATAATATCTGTTTATTCGCTATATCATTAGAATACTCGACGTTTCATCGAATTATTAAAAATTATTTATCAAAAAAGGTAAATAATTAATACAAATATAATTAAGTAGACGAGAACGTGTACATATATTATGAAATTACTGAATTTTTGTTTCTCGAGGTATCCATTGTATATATCCGGAACCCGGGATGTTCGATTCGAGATACCCGAAGATAGCGAAAGAAAAGCTATATTTCGATACAAGGTAACTTTACCTGCCTACGTCACCTGTACTCAATGTGTCATTCAATGGAATTATTACACTGGTTCGTATTTTTACAATCGCTTACGTTAACTTTGGTCGTATATGTTCTCTACACATATACATTTCCATCATGGAAACGCAAAATATAATAAGAGAAATAGCTCGTCGTAATTGGCAAACATTCAAACGCGATTTTACTTTACTTTACGCATTCTACGTTCAGGCGTACATATCTTTTCGAATAATCTTTTCGATGTTATTTATTATAATATATACGATTTATCATCAGGTAACATGTGGGGTACTTGTGAAAATGGAACCGAAGCCAATGGATGTGGAAGACCAGAGACGTTTAGAAATTGCGCCGACGTGAGCATCATCACTAGCACAGCTGGAGTACCTCCCCTCTTCGTACAACAAGACAATCCCTTTTTGCTCTATTACAAAGATTATCGTTCTCCCAATAATATATTCCCACTTGTCGTCAGGTAAGCATCGATCATCTATTATATCAGTTTATCGACGATCAGTTAAAGTATAACCAGGATAAAAGATAAAAAAAAAAGAGAAAAGAAAGAATGTTTCTTTTTTTCTAATATTACTTATATGTTATATAACGTTATATAACGTAATAAAAAACTTCCGAGAAAATCAAGTCTCGATATCGTATCGAAAAGTATCGAATATCGAATGTAGAAAAATTTCACTAATTTTCAGAAAATTTACCATAAGATAAGAGTCGAGTATCGTTACAAGAGAGAATAAACGAATGATATAGAGTACAACGCTTTTTCAGCGCTTCGAGAATTTTCCAGATTAAATACACGTTAATGCAAAAACTCGAACGAAAAGTATTCTACTTGACGTATATTATTCCGTTATAATATTACAATTTCCGAGCGCGTTTATATTCGTTATTTATAATACAGACTTTTTAAAACAAGCGACGACTTACGTCAAGTTTTCACAACGTTTCTTTTCTTTCATCGTTGCGCGCGTTAAAAGTAAATCTGATATTCTTCGTTTCAGATCTCAAGTGTGTGTACCTACCCCTCTTTATCGGCGTATTCCAGGAATGAACGATTGGTGTCAAACCAATTGTCTTCGCTATCCACCAAATTGTCCACCAACTATATGTCAATGCCCGTGAGTACTATACCAATATTAATCGTTATTTAATAATCTATATATATATATATGTGTATTTATTGAAAAAAATTATCGCGTATTTTTAATCGTTCTAATGATATTAAATAAGCGAGAAAGATCATTTCCAACGAGAAATAAGAAATATTTGTGTTTCCAACAGGGAAGTGTGCGACGCGATCGGAGATATCGGTGGAAAGGACGGTGCGAGTGTTTATTGCATGGATAAGTGCCTGGTTTATCCACCCAATTGCCCGTCTCAACGTTGCCGTTGTTATTGAACAAATTTCAATAATTATGCACGCGTCATCGCGTGATGATTCCATTTCGAATCATCGTATCTATCGATTGCGAGCAATTTATCGTGCATTCACGTACAATGGATAACAAGATTTCCCTTTTTCGACGACAATCAGCGTAAGCGAGAATAAAAATGAAACAAGCGTTATTCAACATTTTCGTTATTCAATGCGTGAATTTGTCGAATTATTATCGAAAATAATATATACGTACGTTCGATATATTCCTTGTCAATAACTTTTTCAGTTTTTTCGATAAACACGCGACCGAGATCGTTCCATCGAACAACTTTTGTATAGTTGGATAAAGTTCGGCATTAACCCGTTAAAAATATAACTAGTTAAAAATGTTCGTATAAGTTCGGCTCTTTCTAACGCTACGCGATTATTCGCGGTTATTTTTATTCGATGTTTCGAACAATAAATTATTGAAGTAATTTTATTCTTAACTTTATTAAATTTTCTCCATCTATACCGTATAGCTTTAGAATAAATAAGATATACGTATGTAAGAACAAATCGATAAGTTGAAAGTGGAAAATGGAGCGAAAACGAATTCGAAAATTGAACGTATGAATTTTAGATAGATAGGTATATCTGTTTGGAACGCGATGGTATAAAATATAGAATGGTATTAAATTGCTAACATACATACCGTATCGTGGAATCGTTCTAAATTCCAACGATTTTCCAATAGCAGACGGTCGATTTATCCGAAAGCACAATAGACAATAGCTGGTCTATGGTATTTTATAACGTCGATTCCGAAATACCGTTACAGATATATATGCGTCGCGATTATACGTGTTGATATATTAAGCGCCAATACACGATTCCCAATTTTTTTTGAAATGCATCAATTTTAAATATGGTATAATACTACTACATAATACGGTTATTAAATTACACGTTTTTATGTACAGTATAATATTTTAGAAAAATAAAGCACGTGCGCGTATTTTTCTTTTTACTTTTTACGTTTATATCGTTACATCAATTCGTAATAATAAAGATTAATCGTATCTGTGACGTATCATTTTTAATTAATAATCGAATCGAATTAATAAGGTAAAGAGGTAAGGAAAAAGATATATATATATATATATATCGAAAGCATCAAAGAAAACACTCGATTTAATCTCGCTATAATATATTTAATATTGGGACATTCTATCGACAGCTTAAAATAATACGCATGTATCACATATTTTATAACATTCTTTCTGCTTTTACGTATACGTGTGCGTGTGCATGTGTACGCATACATACCTACATACGCGTAAACGCAGCTACATTTAACGAAACGATTCGGTTCAATTCAATTACGCATCGTAAAATACGTCCAATGCAACAATTCCCTCGATATACAAGCGCATTGTTTCGCGTCGCGTCGCATCGCGTCGCTTCGATTCAATTTCGATAGTTTGTATCGGCCTTGACCAACGCGTGTCGACGACAATGTGTCGGTTTAACACCGTAGTAGTGTCTTTTCTCCCTTCGTTTACTATTACTTCGTCTCTATACATTTTTATTACTTTACAAAACTATATACACCAAAGCCTTTTTATTTATATTTCTATAACACGTTTCCAAATGTGGTAAGTGGTAACACGTTTTATCCGTTTCATTCTTTTGCATATATTTGTAATATATACGTGGTAGTAATTAAATAATCAGTTTTTATTCGCGTGAACGACAATACGTTCAACGCGTTAATACAGTTTTAAAATATAGTTATAAGTTGCGATACACGTATCGCGAGTCATTAGCGCAATTACAACTTATCTAATACAAAGGTGATTACTTTGCTTTTTCCTTCAATTCGAATTTTTTACACTCTAATATCGTTTAAGCATCTATTTAACGTTCATAACTGATTTAGAATGTAACGAAGAGATCCATATATTTGGATTCTATTTTATACATTTTTTTTTCTTTTTTTTTTTTCTTTTTTTTTTCTTTCTTCCTTCCTTCCTTCCTTTTCTTTCTTTCTTTCTTTTAAATAGTCCGATTCATCTCTTCGATTTAATCTCTTAAAACGCAGTTAATCGATTCAATTTTGCAATTCCTCGTACGTAAACTGCTTTCGTATCGACACACGTATCTTCGCGTCTCTATCTATCCCCCCTCCCTCCCTTCTCTTCGTCGCTTTTCGTCGTACGAATCTTTGTGCCCATTATATAGAAAACAATTTAAGAAAGGATATATCTTTAATTTTTTTTTTTTTCTCGCGTACACGCGATAGTACAGCTTATTAATTCGTTATCGTTAAATACCGATGTGACACTGTGGTAAAAAGAATTAGAGAACGGAAATAAGCTGAATAAGATGATTCAGGACACGTTTCGAACGAATACGAACTTTTCTTTTCGTTCATTCTTACGAACGCAATCTCATCATTTCGTTTATAATTTTCATCTTTTATTTCATCTCCCCTCCCCCCCCCCCTCCCCCCTTTCCATTGATTGATCCGTGTAAAAACATTTATCTTCCAACTAAATCGAACGATCTTCTTTTGACGATAAAAAAAAAAAGCAGCAATGTTCTCGAATAAGACGATGTTGTCGGTGAGACGAGAACCTCTACGCTATCTCTTTCTCGATTACTAGATAACAGTAATTCGCTAGATATACACTTTTTTTTTAAACATATATATATATATACATGTATATACATATATATATATATATATATATATATATATATACACACACATATATATATTATACTCTCGTTAAAACGACTTGGCGATAGATCGATCTAATACAAAATACAGATGAAACGTCTCGGGACACGTCAAGGATCGCTGAAATCTTGAATCGATCACCCCTTTTTCTCATCCGTAGTAACGCTTAAAATTATCTTCGTCTTTCTCGAGATGTAATAATATTCTTTTATCAGTTACATTTTCCCCCTTTTTATCGAAACGATGAGACAATACTAGTTATTCTAAAACGTTAGTCGTAGAATTTGTTACAACACGAGTTTTCGAAGGAGGGGTGAATTTCAGGTACGTTTTCAGTCTTTTCCCGATAAACATGGCTCGTTCCCGACTAGTTATTCGTACTATCGCGTAGATGGGAAAACGAGATACTCGAAAAATTTAATCGCACAATTTCACTCGATAAATCGAACCGAAATCGTCTTAATTATCTTATCAAAACGGTAAAATATTTCGTTTCGTTTTCTCAAAATTTAAAAACGTTCGCACGTTTGAAGAAAAAGCGAGTAAAGGATGAATTAAGAAAGAGAGAAGAAAAGAAAAGGAGATACGATGGTACGATGCGTTGGTACGATTATATATCTAGATCGTATCGGAGCCAGGCTTATCCGTAAATTACGCTATACTTTAAGTTACATTTGTACTATTGGCAAAGATCTAGAAATGGAGAATAAAAATAAAAAGGGATACGTTCCGATTGTTTTCGTTTATGTACGCGATCAGCGAAATAGATATAAATAGATTTAGAACGACTTAAAAATGCGACAAGCACTCGCGCCTCGATCAAATATTGCGAATCAAATATCTTTTAAAATTATTTCGCTTTCCGTTATTCCTACTCTCTCTCTCTCTCTCTCTCTCTCTCTCTCTCTCTCTCTCTCTCTCTCTCTCTCTCCCTAGGCTTCTACTCGGATCCGAAAACTCGACGAAAGATACCGATTCCATTTGCAAAAAATTTCGCGTCACCGAATAACGTAAAATACACGTAATTTAACGTTTATCGTTAGCTTGGAAAATAAAAATATAACGGACCGCGAACTATATCGAAACCTCGAATTACGTGTTTTAACGGGCCGTTTCGAATATCCGTTCTCGCGTTATTCGTAGATAGATTAGCGCCTTCTGAAAAATAATAATATAATCGAAGAAAAATAAAATATTTATAATCGGTTATAAAAATGATCGAATATATCGGAAAAATAATTAGGAATCGTCGAGTAACTTGTATGCCATTTACACTGTTTCTCTCCCCGTTTCTATTCACTCGATATCGATTACTCTCGAATCTCTGGCGATGCATTCTCCGTTGAACGAAAAAAATAATGGCCAACAGATACGTTACACGTCACTTTTAGTCGTCGATGAAACGCTCGTTTTACCAATTTACGTAACACAGCGAATAATACAGCGATACACAAACGGAACGTGAAATCGAATAACGCTTAAAGATTCATGACGTACAACGATCCTTTCGATTGCCCCTTATATGTGTATTATATGCAAGGGTGATGCGAGTCAGCGAGTAAACGATAGCGAATAAAATCTATCATTCGCGATCGGTGATTGAAAAATTGTAATAATAACGACGGAACGGCATTATACGCACAATACATATAAAACGTTTCTGCAAAAAGAGAACAAAAAATAGTTGTTTGATTCGTTTGTCGTAATTAATTTATTTATTACCAACCTATTTATTCTCGTCGCATGCTTGATCGAACGAAATTTTATTCTTCAACGTGGCATATACTATATATATATATATATATTATTATATAGGTAGGTGAATAGTCTCTATTCACGAGTCATCGTATTTCGTAAATAAGACTAATCGTCAGTCATACGTCGAAACTACGTACATTTGCTAATGCTGAGACTAACGGAAAAATCATCTCGATACCTATGCCGTTATTCATTATGATTCGTATATAATATTTTTCATATTCGTTCCCATAGAGAATCGCGATATCTCACTTTTATCTTATTAACCGACTATCTATTTTTCATAAGGAGATGTTTACAATAGTTAAATTGAGCTGTTGAATCGACGATGCACGATCGTCGTGAATACGTCTCAGGATTTCTTAACACTAGCCTCGAGTGCCCGAACCTTTTGTACGAAACTTAAATAGATATCGTATGTATCGCTGTCGTAAATCAATTTTTTCTTCTTCTTCTTCTTCTTCTTCTTCTTCTCCTCGCAAGTTACAAAACAGATATTCGTCGAAATATCGCAGAAAAAGAAACGTTAAAATATCTATTTCGTTCGTAATTTTTATTTTCGATAGTAACGATGTTTTATAATTTCGTTTAATATTCGAGTCCAGTTGTCGTGTAGCAGAGCAGAAGTATTACCACTACGTGTATAATTCACGATCGAATCGATCCTTTCCCACTCCGATTAATATTACAATTTCATTTGATAAAATATATATTACGATTACCATGTACGTATAATGCTCTATAATAAGATTATCTTTCTAATTTCTTACGACACAACGACACGTTCCTACCATTTTTTTTTAACAAGCGATCGAATAAATTCTCTAGGAAGGGAGAGAACATGTTGAATTACATCGTCGAGCGGAACAAGTAGTGGAATTTAACAAGTAGTTTTTCTTAAATTTCTCTTAATTAATCGATTAACTTGAGAATTGAAATTTGTTTAGATCGCAGGGATCTTGGTACTGGGGCAGTGACAGTACCGAGAACCCGATAACCCGATAAACGCTTCCAGGTAATATATTGTAATATATTGTAATATATGTATATATATATATATATATATGTATAGAACAAGATTCGATATCTTCTAAATAAGTGATAAACAAACGAATCGTTATTATTATTATTATATTATTTCACGTTTCTCGTACTTTTTTCTCTTTCCTCTTTTGAAATTGAACTCGATCTCGATCTCGATCTCGATAATAGGAAGCGATAATAGTAACGATTTTTAACAAGTTAAATACCGAGTTTCTCTAAAGAGATTAAAAGTGAAACAGGTTCGTTTTTTTATTTGGCAATACTCGTTAAACGTTTAACCGTCAGCAGGCCGTTAGAGTATAGGTATCAGGCCATACGCAAGCGAGCTAAAGTTTCTTACGCTCGTTGTTGTTATCGATAAACGTATCGACGCTTTGATTAAACGACAATCGAATATCGCGACATTTAAGTTATTTTATCAAGCGAAGCAAAGTGATCTAAATCACTCGTTTTTAATCGTCATCTAATTCGAACGATTCATCGTTGAAATTCACAATCGTACAATGTTTTCCGTTCCATTTTCCGAGAAATTTTTTTCGTTTCGAAACGATTTATTCGAATTAGCGTGGATGCCGATCTTCTTCTGTCGTTCTTCTTTGCTCGTATCGAAGAAATTTGCGCGCTACGAGAGCGGTCAATGGGCTCATGGTTGACTAGCACTCGCAGAACGCGTCTTTGCTTTGTTTAATTCGCTTTCGTCGAATAAATCGATTTCAAATTCTTGAGAAATAAATAACGAACGGCACGAACTACACGTTTCATCGTTCGGCCAACAAAGTTTAATTTTGCGATTTCGTATTTCTTTAATTATCTATATAACGTGGAAGCAGGCTATTTGCGTTCACAGGCCTGCTTATTCACCTTCTTATACGTAAATCGAGAAAGAATAAATAAATAAATAAATAAAATAAATAAAATAAATTCCTCTTATAGGCGCAAAAGATATCGATTCAAATCTTACTTTAAATCCATCGTGTCACCACAAAGTATCTATTATACTTTATACAAATAAGATTCTTTTTAATACTTATTTATTTATTTATCTGCTTACTTATTTACTTATTTATTTACTTACTTACTTACTTGCTTGCTTGCTTGTTCGTTTACGTCCGTTTAATGCATGGGGTAAATCCTCTTTCCATTTCTCTCCATTTCGAATCATTTCTTGTATTCTCGACGATTATCGATAAATATCTGTCTATTACAACGGTACGAAACAAGTAATAAGCAAATTTCGTTCAACGAATCGATCCATGAATTTTCGGAATGAAATGAAAATATAACGAGAAACGATGATCAATATGTTCGAAATAGATCGGGCACTCGGACTTGGCAAAAGTGAAGTAAAATGGGAATCGAAATTGCAAATGTTTATACGTGAAATGTATGTTTAGTACCGATATCTAAAGTTACAAATAACCTAATGTCGCGTAGGTTTTCACATAGGGTGCATCCACTCTACAGTTTTCCCTGAAACAAATCGTAAACCCGTTAATCGATCTTATAAACGCTGCCCCGTTTAACGTTCTCGTCGAGTAACGACGAGAAAGTCTTTCGTCTTTTAGAGCAAGATCGTCGAACATCGAACATCGAAACGAAGAAAAGATCCGATAAAAAAATGTAAATTCTCTTCAATAAAATGATATACTTATGTACTTACTCGTCTTCCCACGGGCACACTTCGTTAACGTTATTGTCACGCTTTTGTTGAGGAGCTGGTTGGGTAACGGGTGCTATTTGGTCGTCCTGTCGGGTGTCCGGCTCCCAAACAGGAACGACTTGCGCCTCCTCCAGCGATTCCTCCGTCTCCGTTTCCACCCGAGTCGAAATTGCCAAATTTTCTTCCGCAACGATAACCCCATCGCCTTTATCACCCTCCGCCTCCCCTTTCCTTTTCTCCATCTCCACCTCCCCTTCCTTCGCCGCCACACCCTTGCCGCGATCGTCCTCCTTTCTTTCCTCCCCTTGAACCGCCAAGCTATCGCTCGCCAGATCGCCCACGATCGCGCTAATACTTATCAGGGGGGCCTTGCTCAAAGTTTTCTTCGCGTGTTCCTTCTCCAGCAACGTGACTTTTGACCTCGTTTCGGCCTCAACCACCTCGGCTACATCCTTCCCCTCCGATCGGATCTCCACGTGCGAATATTCGAACGAGTGCTGCGGCGACGGATAATTAAACGACAAAGCCGACGGTCGACCGATCTCTCCAAGTTTCGCCCTTCCGCCAACCGAGCCGATCGAATAATTTCGCGTCGTCATACCGATCCGTTCCGAGGCACTCGTCCCACCACCTGTATCGTCGAACAACCAGAATCTCGTTCAGTCCCTCTTTCTTCCTCCCGCACTACCAACTATAACTATCTAACCTTTTCTCCATCATCGATCTTTCAATTAATTTTTATTATTATTTATTCGAATCGAACGAGGAGAATCGAGAGAAACGAGGATAGATCTAATCTCGGGTGGGAAATATCGCAGCATAACGGAGTTTTTAATCGAATAGCGAGAATTCTAATAGATAGGCGAAGAAAAATTTACCTGTGCTGCTACTTTGTTGCAAACTGCAAGACTTTCGAAGATGTTCCGATACCGCTGCTTCCGTCACCGCCAAGCTCGCGTCCGACGAAGAACTACAGGAATCGAATTGCGATGAATTTTTGCGAGACGGGCGTGCCGCAACTTCGATAGAATGTGACTGGCTAATCAAGTTATCGTTTCCTTCTTCCGCTTGGCTTTCAACCGACGACGTCACTCCAGATGATATTGGATGCCGTAGCTGCGCGCCCGTATCTGTATCGTGCTCTATACTCGGCCCTGGAGCCACGTCCCACGGGCAAACGTCGTCCATAGGGCGAGCCGTCGATGTTTCCGATGTGCCAGCATCCCTGACAACACCAACTTTATTATACGATTTAATTTTTTACATTTCTCTCCTCGTTCGAGTCTCATCCGCTTTTCGTGATCGCGATCCTTTTTCGTACCACGTTTCGATACATCATGCACAAATAATCCTACTTTTCAACGTGAAAGAAAGAAAACGTGTGAAACGTGTGACATTTTTTTTTTTTTTTCTAGAAAAACGTGCCAGAAAATATCGGATCGGAAAATATTCTCTCGATTCGATCACGGCTCTCGACATTTTCGCCCGATCTTTTCCCATAATTTTTTACAAGTTTTCAAGTTTTTACGCATTTTCCATTTATTTATTTTTTATTACATCGTTTCAAACGAACAAAGATACCGTTTTTCTTTCTTTTTTCTCCCGTTATTAAGCCGATAACGAGAGAAGCGAAAATAATTAATAATCTAGTAATCTGAGAGAGAAAAAATGAAGCGATTCGCTCGATCCGCTTAAGATGGATTTAAAATAATATAATATAATTGATTGAGAATTATTACATCGCGAACAGATTAAATTGAAACATTAAAAATCCAAGCTATTGCCTTGCACATATATACATACGTATATATATATTTACATACATGTATTACATACGTATCGAAAAATCGATCGATCGTTTGGATCTAAATTGTGACATAAAAAGTGACAAGTTTTCGACAAATGTCGATAATAACGAAACGATCGATACGATGATAATTGTACGAAATATTTCGAAATATTACAATGCATATACGATTATATACCAATATAATCTGATGCGAATATGAATAATACCGAATATGAAATTAAGATATATTATTTCGATTAAATCCTTTTAATCGACCAGAGATATCGTTTATTATCATGAAAATGAGATTGAAATCATATCGAAATATCTCGTAACTGCTTAAAAAAATTCGATTATGTTTGGTGCATCGATAATGGAAAGTATATATATTTAATATACGACAACGATAAATTAAATTGGGAAATGGATATATACGTGTGTAAATAGATAAATAACGTGGTGATGGTGTCGCAATAACGATAAAGCGAAAAAAGTAGAAAAGAGAAGGACGAAAGTTAAAACTATATATACAAAAGACGTAATATCTCGAGATCCAAGTATAGTTGAAATGCTCGATAAATAGAGAAGAAATTTTAGGAATAAAATAGATATAAACATTATCGTTCGTACGCTTTGTACATACATCGAGAATAATTAATATAAAACATCGAGAATTTTTGCATACATAAAACGTTTTTCACAACAGTGCTCGACATTTTGGAAAGATACATCGAATAAATACAGGATTTGTTAAAAATTGAAACGAGTCGAGAGATTCGATACTTATGCAAGGAATAATTATCAGGAAGTTATTTCGACGACTTACTGAACGTTATGCGGGATAGGCCTTGTTGGAATCTTTACGAGTCGAGCCAGATCTCCCCTGAAAATACCGTACTGATATCTTTTTTCTTTTTTTTTCACTCTTTTATCTTGTAAAACACGAATTCATTATATATTCGTATCATTGACATTGTTATATCTTTACGGAAACGATTCTTTTCAATTTTTCAATTTTAATGAAATCGATATCGAGGCAAATAACAAATACGTTCTACGAATAATTTCAAAGATGAAATAAAAATATCATGTTTGTGTACATCTAGAACGTATAGAAAATCCATTTCCTTAAAAAAAAAAAAGTCTATGTTTATCTTCGATAAACTTAATTAATTATTAAATATTCGCTATTTTTTCATACTTTCCAATATTTCCTTTCTTCTTTTTTCTTTTGAACTTATAACGAGTATTATAACGATTATACGTGTTGTTTATTTGTTGGAAGAGAAGAAAATGAAAGATAAAGATTCTATAATTCGACTTAACGAACAGTGATAAGTAAGAAATTTCATGAAACAATCTCGATGAGTATCATTGATAATCATAATTATACGAAAGTGATCGTTATTTACCTATATGGAATATCGGTGAGATTCGACTGACTGTGAGAATGCGGTACCCTAGGCATCGAACTTGTATCTCGAATACCACAAATGGCTAACTCGTGAGCAGATCCGGAAAGACTTCGATCGCTTCCCCTTCGTTTACTACCACCTCCACTCCCTCCTCCCCCGCCGGCGGTTACAGCATGGTGTTGCAACGTGCTCGTTGTCGGAGTTGGAGCCGAAATCGAAGTCGAAGTCGAGGAAACTTTCTTTTTCGCTTGTCCCCCGAAAAAAAACCTATATAATTATACATTATATGTAAGATCAAGTATTTGAAAAAATGAAGGGAGGGGGGGGAGGGGAGTGACAAAGCTGTTAGGAAATACGTACCATTTTTTTTGCGAAGGTTGCACGCCAGAGGCTAATAAATTTCGATACTGATCGGAACGAATAAATCTAGGATAACAATCCTTTTTCAAAAGCAACGTATATACGTGTTCAGCGGCGGAATCGAACGTGAATCGATTTGGATTTTTCATCTCTTGATGAACTTTTTCCATCGTCTTCCCATCTATATTTATCTCGCAAGGTGCTCCGGGTGCTAAGAATTCTCTGGAAAGAGAAAAAAAATTTCATCGATTATATACGCACATATATACGCGATAATACGTATAATCGACGATTTACGGATCAACGGCAAAAAAGAAAAAAAAAAAAAAAAAAAAAAAAAAAAAAAAGAAACAATGGCATACCTGAAGATTTCGTTAACTTTGTCGGGTATTTTTGCTTGAAAACTATGCCTCAAATCTTTAACCGCTAACCAAAATCGTATATTTTCATGACTGTATTCTTTTCTCAAATACTGCGTAAACTCTTGCAAACCTGGAACGAAACGAAACGAGACGAGACGAGATGAAATGAAATGCACGCGCGTGAAATAAAATTTATTTATCATTCATAATATCAAACAAATCTTTTTTCCCTTCTCTTTTTTCAACTTTCATTTTCTATTTTATCCTTATTTCTTTATCGATCAATTATCCTTTCACTTTCGCTCGTATTAAAATTAAAATATTCTTCAGGGAAAAAAATAAAAATAAAAAAAGGGATAAAATAATCTAAAATGGGGAATGGATCTTGATAAGAGAGAGAGAAAAAAAATAATAAACCAACGTATAGAAGGATATAAATAATGGCTATCTAAGTAGATACACATGTGAAAGAAATATCTCAAATAACGATAAGAATTTTATCATATACCTATGATATAATGAAATGGAAGAAACAACTTACCAGTAGGATCGGACATTAATTCTTCCATGGATAATGCCCACCGCTTAACACGTTTTTCCGTAGGAATTTCCACTCTGTCCACGGTAATTGAATGAAATTAAAGAAATTTTTTATTACAATATTTCTGTGTATATTTCATATATACATGCATATTTTTGTGAAAAATTTACGTTACATTACGTTACATCGAGATACTAACAGAGGACTGTTTAGCTGCCAAAATGTTTGATCGTCGGTAATCCATGGATTGGAAGGTTGTGGCTGTACAAACATTGGATCGTATTCCACGTATGTTTCGAAGTATGAATTGAAATTTTCGATAGCAGCAGAAACTTTTATTCTTGTACGCGTTAAGCTGTTCTTCAAAAGGGCCACCTAATAATATTTAAAAACAAGTCGTAACGTTGTTGAAAATATATTACTACAACATGTATATATATTTCGAGCATAATAATCTACTACGCTGTAAGACGTTTCGTTATTCGTTGTAAAATTCGTTGGCCGAAAAAACTGCAGACACGCAAAACTCGATTCATCTTTGCCAACGGTCGTAAAAAATGACGGTTGGCGAAACACCGAAAAGAAGAATCGAGAGTTTGAAAAAATTTGCCATCTATAATTTGAGCGTGATATCTCTCGCTTCGATCAAGCAATATATAACGAATTAAACCGCGTCCCTTTATTATGTGTTTTAAAAATACACACATATATATACGTAACGTCGGTAAAAGCGAAAGAAAACTTCAACACGTTTGAAACATTTTTAAGATAAGAAGCTCGAGCTTTGGAACTATATTATATATATATTCTTTCTTTTAAATATATATATACGTATAGGTATATACGTAGTTAAAATCGATGATAAAAAATTTTGTTCGCAACAGTACAATTGTAAATGCGACTAGATCCAATTCGTTTGGGCCACCTAATAATATTTAAAAACAAGTCGTATATATATATATATATATATATATATATATATATAATTGTATGTAGAATTCGAAATAAAATATCATTAAAAGAAACGGTTAAAGAAAAAAATTGGACTAGAACTAGAGAAAATAAAAGGAACGACAAGAGTCGAAAGAAAAAAAAGTTTGTTTACCTCGCGCTGCAGATCGGTTAAAGTGCGTTTACGCGATGGAGGACGTGAAAGTCCAGGATGAAAACGCGTAGGTACGGGTGTTACTTCGAGGCTACTCAGACAACCAGGTGGTGGCCTGTAAACTCTCCAAAATGCTCGCTCTTGAGAATCGCTTACTATTTTATCCCCTTTTTTTCGCTCCTTCGATAAGCGTACCTGAACCCACAAAATTGACAACATTTCAAGGAGTCACATGTTCAAATATGTAACTGTTCAATTACTCATAAAAGGAAAATTCCTAACTCCTAGACGACCATTTTTCTTTTTCTATGCACGTATACATATTCTGTAGCAAATTCTTTCTACGTTTCTAAATACATATTTTTATTTTTATTTTTACCTTATTTTTGCATTACATCTGAACATACAGCGATCCATCCCAATACTTTTTTTTAATCGATCATTCGATCACGATACCATCGATCACGATATATACAATAGATGAGAGGGAAGAGGGAATGTTTTTGCAATTTTATCTTACAGAAGATGACAATTCCACATTTCGTACGTGATTATGAGATTGATTAAATTCAAGCGTCGACGAATGGATAAATTTTGAAATTTTTCAAAAAAAAGAAATATTTTCTTCGATTCGAAATAATTATTTTGCCGTTAATGCTTCGACGCGATGCGATTTCGATCATCTAGGAATTAATGGATCGCTATGAAACGCGTTATATTCTCTCAAAACTGATCGATCATTCACCTGTTCTTCAGCTTGAAGTTGTATCATATCCCACTTGTTCTGCAAGTTCCTACGTAGACTGTTTAAAGCTTCCTATGAGAATAAATCAAATATTTGCCGAAGCTATATAAAATACGTTCGATCGATTATCCATTAGAGTAAAATCATGAAAATTTACATACAATTTCGTAATCTTCAAGAGCATGTCGTTGCTTGTTTCTTAAAGTTCTCTTAGCCAGATAAATAGCATATTCCATGTTATCAGGGATTTTATGTTGCCATGGCCAATAACATGGTGTCTGTTCGTTAAATAAAAAATATGATATATTAATAATTTGGAAAATAATTATATATGAAACGTACTTCAACATTGTTCAACACCTAAGATAGATATACTATTTATAACGTTGTATATTTTTTAACGTTAACCAAGATATTTCGTTAATACTGATATTAATAACGTTCAACCGATAACGTTCGACGATTTGAAATTCGAGCATTGTACGATTGTACGTAGTAACGGACAGTTGGGTTCGTTACGCATCGTTGACCAGTGACCGGTGGTAATAGAGCGATGAAAAAACCAAGAGAAAAACGTCGACGACCGAAATTCGAGCGATAATTTTAATCGCGGAGACCAACGAAACGAATACATCGAGGAGATTATCGTAATTAAGGAAAAAAAGGAAAGAAAATGTTTATCTTGAAATTTTCGAGACGCGTCAATTTTCAAAATAAATAAAAACGTGAAAAAACTCGTTTTATCGATATGTCTAGTGTCTGCGTAAAATTCACATATATTTTATACGAATATACATGCATTCGATTCCAAACATTCGTTCCTCGCGTTGCTATAAACTTATACGTTTATCTGATCTGCTTACAACCGACTCACATGTTCATGATGCGTAACGGATCTTAACGTTTATGTTTCTTAATCCGATTACGAAAATAATTATCCAATAGATAAGTGGATGGATGGATGGATGGATGGATAGGTGGATAGATGGATGGATGGATAGATGATAGATAAATAAATAGATAGATCGACAGATAGATAGATAGATAGATGATAGATAGGTAGATAAGTAGGTAGATAGGTAGATAAATAGATAGATAGATAGATAGAAATTGAAACAATAATCGTTTAAGCAAACGAAATGTGGTATTCGCGATGGTTCAAGATTATCTATTCGAACGCTACAATCCAATTTTCGGAATATACGGTTTGTTAACGCGTGCTACGAAACGCGATAAAATATCACGTATGTATATATATATATATAGAAAGTTCTTACCGATATTTAAATTAATTTTTCGATTAAAAAAACGGTAAAAATAATATTTATAATATTTCGCTTCGAATATCGATCGGAAAAATCGATCGAGCGTTGAAAAATTTGAAAAAAAAATATTTTCGATGCAGCGATATATTATACGCGAAAACACTATCCTAATTATATTATACGTATAAATCGGATTCGGAATGAGTTTTCGATCAGATTGGAAAACTTTTTTCGTACTTCTTTTCGTAACATTTGGCAAAGTAACATACATATGTACATAATATATGTATAGTATAGATGATGGTGGTAATAGATGCCAGTTTCGAATTTCAGATTCGATTGTCAAGCGTAATAAGGACAAGTACGGTACCTGAAATCTATACAGAGAACTATCATCCCTTACGGTGAGTGTCTTGGAGTCATTCACCGGGAAGAAGTAGCCATACTGGCAGAGTTGATTGGCAATATGGACCGCCTCTACTGTCAACATAACAATTCACTTTCATACCTGAGAGAATCGTTCGATTATGCGGAAGGCAATTAAGTGATACCTATATAATCACGTGCAACTTATCTAGTCTTTGTCACATCGCGCGCACGTCGCGTACGTGGTGAATAGCAATTAACGGCCAGCTATTGATTCGGAATTCGGAGCGAATATTTAGAAACGGCGCATGCTGTTTAATCAAGTAAGAAAGCCACATCACTGAAAAAAAATGATTTCTTCTTCGTTTTACAAAAAAGTTGACAACTGAGAACCGTTGTACTTTTCAACGATATCTATCGTAACTCGCAAGCATACTGCATACTACATACTACGAGTCGAAGCGAAGGATTTTACACGCAACTTTACAACGTTTTAACTTGTTTTTTCTTATCTCGTATTTGATTTCATTTTATCGCGTGTAATTCTCTCTTCGATAAAATCAAAGTGAAAAACGAGAACGAACATTATATTATTCGCGATAATGTACGTGAATAAAATTAAACTAATCAAAGATAATGATGTTCGTTAGAATGGAAAACGAAATACGAAGTAGAAAGAAAATAAAAGAACAACGATATCTTCGCACAACGAATTCGTCCAAATCGTCGCGACAGTCTTTTTTAAAGACGTACAACCGCGTATGTATCGCGATACGTATATGTATAAATTTATACAAATATAATTTAGGGCAAGATAATACTAATTTTTATTTTTCCATTAAGTAAATACAATGTTCGTTTAATGATGATATTTATTCAAAAGATTCATTATATATTTATTTTTCTCTTCTCTTTTTCTCACGAAAAAATCTCTCGGAAAACACAACATTTATATATATATATTTTGAGCATTGTATAACTTTGAGTTTTTTCGAAAATGTTATTTGGTCGAAACGTCGAAAAAATGTTGAAATATTTCGAAATATATTTTACGCGATATAATAAGAAAAGACGAAAGAAATATAATTACAAGTAAGAAATCAATACGAGAATCGAAAGCGTTCTTGTCTCTTGTTTGATCGTCGATTGTTCGAAGAGAAGTCAATACATATACTCACACGCACGCACGCTCGCACATATATATATATATATATATATACGTACAATATGATTAACAGTGAAAGAAAGAAGCGAAATTTTTGCTTTTGATTTCAAGCATTCTACAAAATCAACTTAACTACATACAAAAAGCAAAAGAAACATCGAAAGAAGCCTGAAGAAGAAGCGATTTTCGAGTAAAAATAAATTTTACTGAGGAAAGCGACAAAGAATTATCGTGAATAGCGAAATAATCGGTCGCGACAATGATGTAGCTTGTCAACGAATTCGAATACAAAGCTAAACGATTGAAAGCGGACAGGCATTCAACTACTACATACGAGCATATATATAGCGTAAAGAACAAAGCTCTTATCTTACGGATGGGAAGATATTTCACAAAAAAATCAACATAGTTTTTTATGCCTTATGTGCTTTAATATTATATCGGCTCAATTGCTCGATTATCAGATCTCTAAAAGAAAAAAAATAAATAAATAAATGAAAAAATAAACTATGCAATAAAAACTTTTACGTATAGTATATTTGCAATAAGTGAGTCAAGTTACGCGTTCATTACATTTTGGCATCACTCGTTTTTATCTATATAAATGCAATTATCTTCCAAATTGTCGTTGTTACACATTTAGAAAATATCGCATCTCCGTTTCTATAATCTAAATTGCTTTTCATGAACTTAATCGTTATATACCATCCATTTTACATTTATAAAATTATTTCCTCCTCGAAATAAAGCAAGTTAATTATAATATTTGAAATCACATTTATTTTTCGAATAACGAACAGTTTGGGGGACAATAAATTACATTTATCACAATTAAAAGACGTCGTGCCTCGTTATACAACGATGTTAGTAAAATATCGATAAAAAGATGAAAGACAAAGAAAGTCAGTCCAAACGATATATAAAATAGATATAATATAATATAATATAATATAAACGTAAATGTAAGTTACGTTCAACTGTTTCAATTTATATACATTGTAAATCAAGGATAAGAATCAGATTCGGATCAAATCTATCTATTTGATCCGACGATCGATAATCCGATCGAAAATTGTCGTTGATAATAATTTATCGCAAATATGTATGTGTATGTATTTCTCGAAATCCAATCCCACCGATTATGTCTTAAAAAAAAAAAATTGCTCGAAACGCGACACTCTTTTATTTGATTCGATAAAATCGTTAAAATCGATAACGAGGCTACTTTTCTACAAGTTTATCTAAGATTTTACACCGATTAAATATTAAAGTATAATATATATATATAATATTATATACATTATATAATATTATATACATATGTATACCGCAATATCATTACGATTAAATTTCTACTTGGAGATATAAAATCGAGACTTTATCTCGTCGCATGCTTCAAAAAGGGAAATGCATATATATCGTAGGATACATCGACTAAACGGTTAACACGACATTTTCGATGAAACGCGAAATGCATACGTATTACCTGTATATATTTTTCGTATTTTCAAAATTCGTATTTTACTCGAGTATTATCGCATCCACATATCTGTACTCACGACGAATGCATTACACATAGGTAAATAGTGTACATACGTAAAAAATTTACAGATTTTTTATAGGTAATGAAACTAATTTTTTGCATTCTGTCTCTTCGTTTTTATATTTCTTCCGACGATTAATTCCAACGTTGGAATTTTATGAAAAAAAATTTTTAAATACAACGAATAATTATGCTCCTTTATCGTGATAAAAACAAAAAATCGATCGAAGCAAAAATATTTAATTTCGAATGTAACGTAGATATGTATTAAGCGTAAGACAATAGCGAATAATAACACAAAGTTAAAAATAATAAAAATTTAAAAACATTTGAATCTATCGAATATAAAAAAAAAATGTTTCTTCGAGATTCGATGTTAGAAGAATGAAATGGACAAAAAAGAAAAAAAAAAAGAGGAGAAAAAAAAATGAAGAAGCGCAAAAAACGATTTCGATCGCAGAATGTTAAAATCAAATTCAACAATGTTGAAATATTTATTATTCAATTTTTCTGTTTTGTTGAAAATAGCTCGAGATATTATATATCGAAAAATCGGTAAAATTATTCGACTAACAATAAACAAGCGTTGATAGCTATATTATACACGATGCATTCGAATATCAAATTCGTACGTGATAAAAGCTAAATTAGCGCGATGCGAACGAAAAAGAAAGAAATCAGAGACGAAGGATAAAATAGAGAAAAAAGAGAAACGAAAAGTGAAGGGATAAAAAAAAAAAAAAAAAAAAAAGGAACGAAAACCGAATACCCGTGTGAGAGACGTTCCAATATCATTCGAACAAATATTCGACTAACAGTTTTCGATCGAGCATAACACAGGCACAATGGTTAAACGTAAAAAAAAAAAAAAAAAAAAATGCAATGAGAGAAGAAACACGTGATCCATTATCGATGGTCGGCGAGACGAAAAACGATGCGTGGGTCATCAAAGCACTGCGGAAACTCGGGCATATACGATATTATTTAGATATCTGTATATATACGAATTTCATACCTGATTCCTCGATGGAAAGCCGCTCCATCAGCCACTCGATGAGATCGTAACCTGCAACACGCAGGCAGCCTACTGTAGTGTCCTGGCCGTGATGGCCGCTTACGCTTACTCCACAACGCAGGTACCGATGGCACTCACCCATGAAAGCCGAAGGAATTGAGGTGAGAAATTGTTTTTGGCTGCGCACGGGTACCCCGTTCTCAGGGTCTTGCATCTCCCGCACCAGCCCCTCCATCTGTAATAAACATAGTCGATCGATCGATCATCGTACGCTTCGGTTATTCATTTTAATTACATTCTTTTTAATTTTACCAAAAAATCTTTTCCATTCTTTCCCGCTCTTCTTTTTCTTCTTCTTCTTCTTCTTCTTCTTCTTCTTCCTCTTCTTTCTTTACAAGCTAATAAAACACGCATACGATACATTTCATTCAAGCTATTTCTAATCACTCGAATCATCGATACTTGCCCCACTTGCAAGAAATAGAAATTCTTGATCCAAGAAATATTGCGAAATTCTAATCTCGCGACAAAATTTTTCCCTGAATATTCTTCCATAAATAGTATCATAGATATCCATCGTTTCGTGAATCTGATACGAATAATATATCCTATCGTTGTTCGATTGCTCAGCGTTCATCGTCGAGTATCGAAATTTGAGAAAAGATTACTCGATGCAGCTTCTTCTATGTCTTCAATTATATGATATAGGAGTGGACGCTTGCCGTGTATCACGCGATTCTCGTAGCATTAAATAAAAAAAAAAAAAAAATCAATTAGGAAAGAAAGAGCAAAGAAGAAAGGAAGATCGGCAAAAATACGATCGATGTCGAAATGAAATCAACAGCGATTATTATGGATGGGAGGAAATGGACGAATTTCGTAATCCTTCTCCTAAAATCATCGTACAACTATATAAAATATCGACGAATCTAACAGCAATCATTATACCGAGTTCATTACGCCGATCACTAGGATTTCTTACAGTACGCACGCGCTCCGCCAACATGGAACAATCTAGGACATCAAAACTACATACGACTTCATCGATGCCAATCGACTCGAGCTTGATATACACTCGCTACATCTTGAAAAGGAAGCTACAATCACACACATTGCTACCTATCTACCAAGTCAAGATCCATACATATTGACGAAAAATTCGAGATTAATTGCCACTTGACTCGCAGAGAGATATATATCTCGATGTATTTTTTTTATATTTCTTCTAAATAATATTAAAGGAATTTATATCAAATTTATATAAAATTCTCTCGCGATTATTCAATTATCCCTATTCTTCGCAAATATTTTAAATATATGCTCTTCCATTTTCTTGTCATTTAAAAAAGGAGATATATCTTTTGGCTCGTGAAATAGAACATTTTTTCATCTCGTTAAATTGATTTGATTTTTTTGATCGTAATAACAATAAATATACGATGTTATTCTCGATTTCAATAAAATTGTTTCCCATTAAAATACACGTGTAATTTTATTAAATTATACATCGTATTAATTTTTATATGTGTTATAAAATAATTTCACTAACGATTTCAGGAAACGAAATACTTTCCTTTTTTCTCTCTCTCTCTTCTCACCTTTTTCATTACGATTGTATATCTTTGGCTAAACAATTTTCTTAATATTGAAATTTTTTTCCATACCAGATATTTACGTTTGATCCATCAAAAATTGAACGATCCTACGAGTACATACATAATACAATAACGTAGAGTTTAATATAGTTCGCGTTCATTTCTTACGATCTCATTAATTTTTTCACCATGATATTCAATGATTATCATATAGATATAGATCGCTGAATTCTTCTTATTTTCGAATAAATAAATCGCGTTATAATAAAAAATAAAATGGACCTCGAACACGTGGAATTGAATTATAAAGAAACGATTAATTCTTATCGATAAATATTATAAGATTAACAATTCAACGAACGATTAATTTTTAGATCATTTGCGTTCCGTGTGTAACATTAAATAGAAAAAGAAGAAATTTATATACCTTGTCGAAGGCGCAAGGCCTGTGAACGCTTGGCTCCTTTTTCTGTTGTTGATTATTAGAGGCCTCCATCGCGATCGAGGCGGCCCTCTGCGACGCTGGCAGGAGCTGTGACGATATCGATGGCGGAGGGGGCTGGGGAGTTGGGCCGGAGACGGGTCTACCCGAACTCCATGGGGCTCTAGCCCCATCCCATCACTCCAGTCACCCCCGCACGCCCACTGAAATTTTTATAATAAATTAATCTTTTCACTTTTCGTTTTTATCTATAAACTTGTTTAAAATTACAAATAAAAACAATAAAAACAATATGGATATTATAAATTTAAACCTGACTCTATTTAATTCTTATTACGTATCGTCGTCTTTAAATATGCGTCCTCGTCATATCGACTACTATTTCTATCATCGAGAAAATCGATTTCGAGTCTTTTTTATGTATCGGTTTATATTCTTCATTTTCATACATAATAATATAAAATAAAATTATTAAATTATAAATATATTATAGCGTACAATATATCATTTGACAACAATACCGACGAGAATACGTAATAATAATATATAAAATATAACGTATAATATAATAAATATAAATCTAGTTTTAGAAAAGAAGATCAATTAATACGCATAAAATAATTCATCGATAATGTTCGATATCTTTTACCATTTACTCAAATTTTTTGATTAAAAAATTTTGTCAAATTGGTAATATGTTATGAAACATTACGAATCCAATTCATAGGATGATCATTTTTAAAAATCCAATGGATAGTCTCCACTTTTGTGTGTGTATGCGCGCGCGCGCATGTGTCATTGTTTATCATAATAATAAGTAAAGAATGATTCTAAAAATACAATATACGTGTGGATTTGGTTCTATGTAAAATAAAAATATATCGTGAATGTAAATTATGGTCTATAAGAATATGATTGAGAAGCGAATCAAAATTTTTACGTAATTTTCGTAAGTAATAGAATGTTTCTGTATTCTATTTTTAAGTTTTATTTTATTCTTATATTTTATTCTATGTCGATACAATTCGAGTCTTATGACTCTGAACTATTCGAATGAACTTTCTTACTTTAATGTATAGAATGTACACAATTTTCCAACATACTTATACATATTCTTATATAATTTTTTATTTATATTTGCTTTAATATTGTAATTAAAAAATATATGCGTATAATCGATTTACTTAGTATTAAATTATCTTTAAAAACGTTTCGACAACATTTTATTCTTACTTTACATTTTATTCGTACTTTCCATAATAAATTCCAATTTTCTTATATAGTTATAATGTATAATCCAATGTATAATCCAATATCATTACGATCACTGTGATTATCTGATAACTTAAACAATTTCCATTTCATAAGTTACACGCATTATATGATTGATTTATTCGTATTCTTAGAAATTTGTACTTTTTGTTTAAAAATGTGTTTATATGAATCTTTTATGCGTATAATTCATCATAATAATAGATATTTGAATATTTTCTATTCAATTTCTAACGTATTTATTTTTTCCTTATTATTTCTTCGCTATCACGTTATGATTATGAAATAAAAAATGTAAAATCAATTAAATTATACCAAATAAATTGATAAATATTTATTATATAAATATTATAAAAGTAAATGTAGAGTTGCTTTCTTTTTTGTTATACATTTATATATATATAAAAAATCTGGTGGTTGGATACTTTCGTGACTAGCGATATAAACATATAATGATACATATATTTATCAATAAAAATCATCAGAATGAAATTAAAACATGGCATTTTTTATTAATTGATGTGAAATTCCTATTTATTATCTACATGTTAATCATTTATAGACATCATCGTATTTTAAATATAAAAATTTATAAACTAAAATGTAAATATAAAATCAAAATAATGATATAAATACAACTAATTTTGCCATATGAATTAATAATATTTTATAAAATCAATTTTAATATTATATAAAATCAATATCTCTTCGATGTTTATATTTTATTATATTATTTGATAAAATTTTATAAATAATACGCGCTAATAAAACGATAATTAAAAGATTTATATATTCGAATCGTTTCATTTTCATTGAATCGTTACTATAGCAATGGCGATACTATAAATACATACACGCCAACAATGATTCCGCTGAAAGCGAAATTGTATTCAATCTTAAAATCGTATTTACGAGAAATCTCGAGTATAAATTTATAACGGCACCAAGATTTTGAAATAACCATACATATGTATGTAACATATATATGTGTGTGTGTGTGTGTGTGTGTGTATGTTATATATTCGAAAGAAAGATTAATAAAAATTTAATATCAATTTAATTTTTGCTGTTAACAGTTTTCAATTAACACATTTTTCCATGTTTTATCTATTTTGGAAATGCGCGTCGAGAAACTGCGTCGTGACCCGGTTCACTTTCTTTAAGCTTTCGTTCATCGTTGGAATACGTGGTCGATATTTATTGCAGCTTCTTCGTACGATATTCATTTTTCACTTTTTCTCACGAAAGAAAAACTAATAGAAGAAAAGTTTATCACACGATACACTTATCTGATATCCGATACAGATCTGACACTTTTCGAAAATCACTTTTCCATTAATTTATCGTTTATTCGATTTCATAATTTCATTGATTAATCAATGTTAAACTAGTCAATCGATTTTATCATAGAACAAAAGATAATAGAGAAAGAGAAATAAACGTTAAAAGTATATATACAAATTTCTATTACAACGATAATATTTCTTGGTAAATATGAGAAAAAGAATTGTTGAAAGAGACGATGATATATGTCCTTGACATAGAACGTGTGATATACGCGTGAAAATTCAAGGAATTTTGTCACCAGTAATAAACGGA